TTGCGGCTTTGTGATTTTGTGGCAATTGCCGCCCTATGCGGAGTGAGGTAGTGCCAGTTGTCGAAACCCAGTAACTTGGGTTGTTTATGGTCGCAACTCTATTTCAAACGAGTTGAAAAATATAGTTCCTTGTTTCGTTTTTTCAAGCATTTCCTCGAACCCTTGTAAAAGTGTGAAATTCGGCAGGTTTTTCTCGCTTAGACACATCTATTTCGCCCGTCACTAAAAGAAACTTTTGAGAAACTCTACCGACGATAGTCGTCGACCACTCAGGTAACCGGCGGTAATAAGGAATCCTCAATGTCCAATAGAATCACTGACTGATTGACGGTAACAAGAGTATTTGAAACTTTCAGTTCTAACAGGACAGTTCGCGCGCAGCGCCGGTTTTGGTGGAGCTCTTGAACTGTCTGGATGTTTATGGCGCTAAGTGTAGTTGTGACGCTGTGCATTTTACGGAAGCCATGCTGATGTACTGCTGGGCCGAGTTAGTATGTGAACGACGGGAACAACAAGACCTCAAATGGCTTCGCTATTAGGGAGAGGAGAGATATCGGCCTTTCGGCGTCGTAACCCCATTTAGGTCAACAAGAATAGCGCTTTTATAGGTGCTGGTCGAAATAGCTGTAAGTCATTGTATGTATGTATATATGTAATTATCTGCATATGTACTGAAGCTACGAAAAGCATTTGATTTCTAATAACGTAAATTTGACATTTAATATTTAAGCAAAATTTTCGTACTGTAAAATCTTTTGTAAATATATAATTTTGCTTGCATACATACATATATATGTAAGTGAGTAAAATGTGCTCATTTCCTATATGTAAATGTACAACAGGAATTTAACGACTATATTGAAGATCTACAAGTATATTTAAGAGAGAGAGAGAGAGAGAGAGAGAGAGAGTGTGTGAGAGCAAGAGCGAGGAAGACAAGTATCATTATACATATAAAAATGCTTATAATGTAATACATATATACTCATATATATACTAATCTCTTAATATTTCGTAATAAAGTAATCTTAGAGGTTCACATCGCGTTTCTAAAGTTTAAAAGGCGTTCAAAATATTAATTTAACCCGTTCAAATGATTTGAGGTGAGAAGAGATTGCACGCAAACTCCTTAAATGTTGAGTATGCGACGGGCTGGTTTGATTGGTGTTTTCTCTTGTTTTTCTTTTTCTCTTATAATTCATACATAATACAAACAAAGACAATTATAATTTGTTTTTTTCTTTTGGTGTTTTATAAAAAGCAGTACTTTTCTAATTAAATCGTTTTTGTTTTGAAACATTTTGTATTCGTTGTGGTTTGAAGGCTTTTTTTTTTGTTGCTCACACTTATTGCGGTTTAAACACACATACATATGTATATTATGTTTTACACACATACACATACAATATTATATTAATAAATGTTTGAAAACTAATTTTGGTATACAATTGGCAAATAGTTGAGTTATTTATGCATTTATCGAGTCAAACTTGTATATATAGAATTAAGTATCTATGTATCTATGTATGTATGACAACAACTTATCTAACAAGCCTAAGCAAATAGATGTTACAAATTTACGGTAAAAAATTTAGTAATGAGTGAGTAAGTGAGCACATTTCAAGTGAGTTCATTTTGTGTTTAACTTTACTTTGAAACATCAATGAAAAGACATATCGTCAGTGGTTCATTTTCTCCAATTCAATGCAAAACAAAAATCAATAGAATAATTTTAAAGTCGAATGGTATGAATTGGCGAGCAACTCAGCTCGTCATGAAAACGAGATTAAGTCGTTAACTACATGAGAATGAGACTGCAACAACAAATCATCAGCGTTAATTTTAAAATGGCTGCCAGAAATAATTTCCCAGCACACATCAAAAGATAGGAAATTAATTTTGATATCTATGCATGTCTCACAAGGCCGTCAACTATACGAGGTATGACAATTAAGTAATGAGATTGATTCCATAAAAACCTTATAACACAAAATTATTCTACAACTCTGTCAACCCCTTCAAAGTAGTCCCCTCGGGCAGCTATACAACGTTGGCAGCGCGTTTTCCATGCTTCGTAACATTTGTGGAACGCTTCGACTGGGATGTACTCTCATCACGGCCTTTGACAACCGATTTTATTCTAGGAAACAAAAAAAAGTCACAGGATGACATTTCGGGCGAATAAAGCGCTTGTTGCAACACAGCGATCCCTTTTGAAGCCGAATACTGGGACACGCTGAGTGCGGTGTGGCACGGCGCATTGTCGTGATGAAGAATCCAGTTACGCCCGATATCTGGGCTCGAGCGCTGCTGACTCGTTTTCGCAATCTTTCGAGTACTTGGCGATAGTCGAACTGTTAAGCGTCGAACTTTATGGATTAGAGCGGGCATTCATGCGCCTCGTCTTCCACGCTTTCACGACCCTTCTTAAACTATTTATGCCATCGAAACACCTGGGCACGACTAAGAGGATTATCACCGTGCGCTTTTTCAATTTAAGCGTACGTTTTCGAAGCTGTATCGCCCAACTTGGCGCAAAATTTTATCGCGACGCGTTACTCTTGAGTTCGCTTTCCCATTTTTGTGACGAGCACCATGAACAGAAAGAGTAGAAGTCTGCCGGTAGAAGGGAAAGGGAATTTCAAGGTCGCAGGGTTACCAAAATGGCGGCAATATAATCAGTCTCATTACTAAATTGTCACACCTCGTGTATGTCTATAATGTCGGATAAAATTTATTGGTACCAATTATATAGAAATGAAGAAAAGTTATTTATTTTATAAAAACTTACGAAACCTTAGTGAAAATATTTGACTCCACGACATACATACGAGTATGTAAATGCGAGAAGAATTAAACCTGTTTAATTTTAGTGCGGCAAAAGATATTGGAATAAGCTCTGCACCTCCACCGTCATGGAAGCAATAATGATTTCCTGTGGAATACTTAACGCAGCAGTCTGCATAGAGGTTAAAAAAAACAACTTTTTTTCTTAAATCTAAATCTAAATCTAAACTATCCAAGAATAGGTCTTCAAAATTTCGGTGGCCAAATCGCCATCTTTTAGAAGCTAGAGCAATTTTTGTTGCCGAGTGTCGAGCAGGTTCGAATGCTAGAGCAGAACTTTGAAGTGAATGATTTTTTTTTTTCAAATAAATTTTTTGATACTAAAAATTGTTTTTTTTTTTTTTTGAAGTCTAAATATAGTACATTATTGTCCGATGATTTCATTTACCGCACTAATTTTCTTCCCTTTCAAACGAATTGCCTAAAAACGCTTTTTTCAGGTTTGCCTCAACCGGGCCTCATTTAGCCTAAAATAGTTTCTTTTTGCCCCCGTTTACACCTTATCTGTTCATTCTACTATTAGTATCTCCCATGAATTCTAAATTGAACCAAAGAACGTATATTAATTATTAAATTTATTAAATATATTAATTATTAATATCCGTTCTTTGATTGAACTAAGATCATATTATTGAACGGCCCACCTAAGAACATAATAAAAGTTTCGGAAAGTGCCTGAAAGTGACTGGAACCTGAGTTTGATTTGTACGAGAAAATATTTTTATGGTTTGATTTGCTTGGAATACTTTTCTTTTCAAGCAGTGACGTGACACCGTTAAATTAGGAAAGATTTATGGTGCTCAACATATTTTTGTTTTATTTAGTTGTAATTAAAAAAAAAACAATCCTTCGTCCAAGCCCTCGTGAATTGTATCTCGAAAGTCTGTGTAACATTTTATGTTGAACGATTGAGTTGTACTTTCGACACGTCTAAAGTTCAAAGCGCTCTCCCGACCTGACTTGCAGTGCGCACAACTTTACAAGGCTGTATTGGCGTAACTTATACTCCGATCGACTTGAATATTTAGGTTAATAGGCTCGAAATGTTTTTAGAATAAAAATATAAAAAAATACAAATAAAAAATTTACGATGTGGCAGCAACCCATGTAACCCCTCAAGGCAGTAAATAGTATTAGAGCACGCTATACTACTGCTGCTGCGTAACTATGCTATTTATATTGATTAACTTTGAAACACTGAAAGTTGATTTTTTCCATTAAATTATCCAAACTAATGCCAAAAAAAACTAGTATTTGACAATTATTTCATAATCCAACAATTTTTGTGGCATTTTTCCATTGTATGGAATGACCCAAAATGAAAGCAAGATTTTAATTTTATAGAAAACACAGCTTTTAGGTTACAGTTTATGAGCTTTCATAGAATCACAAAATACATATGTACATAAGAATCATTAAATTTACTTGTGTACATAAAGATCTTGCGTTAATTTTGGGGCACCCTTAATAAAGACTAATTTTGAATGTTAATAACCTGTGTGACTTTATGAATTTCTTTTTAATTTCTTCGCATTTACAATTAGAAAATGAACTGAATTTAACAAAAAAAATATGAAATGCCACTCATTTGCATTATTTGCTTCGCAATTAATTGTATTCGAATATTTTTAAATATTGAATATTGAATTTCAAGTTTCGAGTTTCGAATGCATACAATTAATGTAAACAATTTTTAGAATGAATGGAGTATTTGCGCTTTGAATTAACAAAAATTAAATTATCAAAATTATTATTATTTAATTAAAACAATTTGCCTTTTATTAATAATTTTATTTTGCATTTACGTACATGGGTGTGCATCACCATTGATTATTAAAACAAGCATACATATGCATGTGCCTACTTGCCCATATTTGCATGTTTATATGTATGTATGTATGTATGTAAGTAAATACATAAGAATGTATGGCTGGAAATAACTATAAATTGTATGCCTTGATTTATATATAATATATAATATTGATTATTTGTTTAATATTATTTATATTAATATTTTTTTTTAATTTTTTTCAATTCCTTCAATTTTTTCTTCTTAACAATTTCGTAAATACTCTTTAAATTTACTAATTATGTTTGTAGGTATATTGCATGTGTGTGTAGCTGCTACTTTACTGTTACATTATTATTGTGAAATTCCAATATGATTAAAATTGTGCTGGATTACAATTGCATATGTACATACATATATGTAGTATGTATGTCAGTTTACTACACAAATATACGCACACACAAACCAATTTATGCATTTCTTATAACTTGCATTTACTCGTACATATGTATGTATGCATGTTGTATTAAATTTCTAGCTTAAAGGTGGTTTTATTGGAAACACAAAGAAGTACATACAAATACATCTAGTATTGGACGTGGACGTTAGAATAGTAGTGCTTGGCTTTTATGCTTTTATGTTTTTTAATTTTCAGTTTTTTATTTTTATTTTAATACTACGGGTGTACCGCTAAATAACTGCTTTTTTCCATTTTTTGGTATTTACTTTGTATATTCATTTATTCTCTCTCTCATAAGCTGAAGTGCGACGTTCATTTTTTCATTTAATGCGCTTGCGTTGCTTGGATTTGTGGTTGTTGTTGCTGTTGCTGTTGTTGCTGCTGCTGCTGCTGCTGCTGCTGCTGCTGCTGCTGCTGACCCTGCTGCACTGTGGACTGCGTAGTTGAGGCTATTGGTGGAGTTTGAGTTGTTGTTGCTGGCTGCGCTGGTGTGGTTTGTTGAGATTGTGGCTGTATTTGGGGCTGTTGTTGTTGTGCTTGTGATGTTTGTTGCTGTTGCTGCTGCTGCTGTTGTTGTTGTTGCTGTAATTGGTCGGGATTTTCGAAATAATCCGAAGCATTGCCACGGCAAATTGGGCAGGTTCGATTCGACTGAACATAAGTAAAAAAAGGACAAGCATTAATTTAATATGTATTTTTTCGAGAAAAAAAAGTATATACAAATATATAGAACATACACGTACATATGTCGATAATCAAGCGATAATTAAGGTAATAATCTCTCATATTTAATTGTGTTAGAAAATGTCCTTAGAATCAGGGAAGCCGTAAAGAGAGCGCCCGAGGGTGAGTACATACATATGTATATAAATATATATATATATATATATATATAGCTTATGAGACTGCCAAAAATGGCTTACCAATGTACCACAACAGGATATATGTACATATGTTAAAGAGTCGTTAAAAGCCGATGACGGATCACCAAGTGGGATGGAATGCTTTAGCGACATGAAAAACAAACAAGAGATAGTCTGCAAGTGCAGCAAATGTTATGCTTTTTTGCATTTCCTTGCTTACAAGTTCGTATAAAGGCTGCATGAAGTTAGAACACCATGTCTGTTTCTGTCCGGCCTTTGCTAGAATTTGTATTAAATGACGCGAAGCTTCGTAATTTAAAGGACTGGTTTCAAAAATTTAATATTATGGCTGTCTTGAACTTTGCGAAAGGTCTTGACTACTTGACGACTTCTTCAGACAAAGGATCAATGTAACCTAACCTAACCTAACATAGATTAATAAACTGCCAGGAGAAAAAAATAAACAATTTTTGTATATGAAAATACATATTAACATATATATACTATATATATATTATATACTATATATATACTATATGTATATATTTCTTTCACGAGCGGCACTCTCAAACGATTCGAATGGCATCCAGCGGAATCGGGCACGAACTTATGCACTCATCCAATATATATATTGTAATTGGCATTTTGTAACAGCTGAAGCAATTTTCGGCCGAGGTCCTCATTCAATTTGTGGTTTTGCATCTTAATGCCTTTCCAATAAATGGAGGGACCTGCGGTTTATACTAAGCCATCTTCGAACGGCTTTTATTTCATGCCAAAAATACACTCGGATATCGAGTGGCAATCGCAATGAGAAAATTTAACTTAATTTTTTATTGAAATTAATTTCCTATAACTTGGAACCCTGGACTTCCTAATGGCAGTACGCAATGCTAACCACTCGGCTAAGGCGGCCGCGGATGACTTGTTACTTGGCCCAATATTGGTATTGCCTTGTAGACACAACAACCAATTTTATCAAAATCAATACGCAAACAATTTTAATTTCACTAAAAAATATTATATTTTTAACTTACCCTTAGCCATTTGTCAACACATTTTGCATGAAATTCATGAGAGCAAGGTAGCACTCGCAGTACTTGCCGCAACTCAAAGTCGCACATACAAACCACGCAAGACGTTTGATCACCTGTAAACGAAAATAAAATATTATTATTATTATTATTAAAATAAATTTGGAATAATATTTTAGAATGTACTTAAGTATATGTGTACACAAAAAAAAAAAAAATAAATAGGCATCTGATGGAGACCAAGGAAATACTTCTCTCAATGAGTTGTTGTATACATTTGAAGTTAATATCGATTTTGTCAATTTTTCTTCATTATATAATTGCGAATAAAACGCACGAAGCAAAAATTAAATGTGATTATTGGGGCCAACAACCTCGTAAATCGATTAAGTACCTTCCGATCTTTTGGTGAAAATCACGATATGTCTACCGACTCTGACCAAATTTGTAATAGTAACATGTGAAATAACTCTTTGGATGAAAAGTCCTAGCTTCAGGACTACACATATGTAGAAGGCGCTGGTTGCGTTGCATTCACCGCTTTTCGAATAAGTACTAAGCTTCAAAAAAGCTGTTAACACTCCATAATTTTCTCGTGAAAAATTTGTGTTTAATTTGGTAAGGCCTTAGGCCCTGCAGGGGAAAATACTAGTTGACAACTCGAATTCAACTTGTTTACATTTTTAAACCAACTAGTTCATCTTCATCCATTTTCCTTATAAGCAACGGGTGTTTTTAACACTACGGTGTCCTACGAGCTGACAATTGTCCTACTACAGATCAGCTTCATACTAGTTTAATACCAGTTCATTTAGGCATGTTGAATTTCTACTTCACCAAAAAAAAAATAAATAAATAAATCAAATAAAATTCAGTTCGCCAGCTGCGAAAAACGAACCGAGAGCCTCATGCATCGCAGTGAAGACCTCTAACATGACTATTGTTAAGATATATGGAGGAACGAAATCTGCGCTCTTCACAGAACTTTTTAGAAAATAAAACTCAGCCGTGTCATACTAAAAACAGAAACAACATACGAATGACGTGGGGGTAAAAATTTCTGTATCTCCAAAAATTAAAAAAACAAGTTAAAACTAAAAATTAAATAATGTCATTTTGAACATTTCAATGGTACAGAGCAGAGAATGGAATTCAGCTGTGCTCTGCTGATATAACAAGAACAAAAGGAATGTTTACCTCTCCGTGTGTATTTCGGATTTGAAATAAAAACATTTCATCAAGGAACGTCATTAGCAGGGGATGGCTTAAAACAAACTCCATTTGTTGGAGCAATATCAAGGCGCATACCACCAATGGGAGAGGAAGCTCGGCTGAAAAATCTTTGGAGCATTCAAAAAATCGTATGCTTTCCAAGACCTCTAAAATCAAATGCTCTCAGACGGAAGGAAACATAGTGGAAAAAAATGCCTTCCTACAATTCGAAAAAAAACTCACCGCTATGGGTTTCCGGATTATACTTATAGCTAGGCAGTTGGTCGATTTCATTTCTCGCCAAACCGCGCGGTTTCGCCTCGCCCAAACGCTCAGCCAAACTTAGCAACGCTTCGTAATTTTCCGTCTCATTGGAATCTGGCGAATTTAACTCGTGTTGATTATAGGGTGAGAGCGGGAACATGGCACTGGGGAGAAGAAAAAAATACAAATTAAGTTCGTTAATGAAACTAAGGTAATAATAATTCTGTGCATATTTACAGGAAATTAAGCAAGAAGCCCGGGTTTATGATGCCAGCGGTTGTTTGAATTTGCACAGGGGTCGCCTGGTGTGGGCCCAAAGTCTGCGGTGGAAGCATATGCCGATGTGGTCCGTGAGGATGATTGGCAGGCCAGAAACGGGTAATACGACGATGCGGCGGGAAAACACGTCTCTGTGTGTCATGAAAATAAATTCCAAATAGAAATTAATTTGTTAAATTCTTTAGTTTTGGTGACATCACGGCTTACCTCTGCAGAAACCAAAATCGGTTGAGGTGCTGCAGTCATTTGTGATACCGCAGCTGCTGTTGGTGTACTACGCAAATGATGTGCTGCTGCGGCCGCAACAGCTGACATTGACGTAATGTGGATTGGAGCTGTTTGCAGCTGATTGTGATGTGCCGCCGTTGTAGGAACACCAGCCGGATGCCCTTGATGTGCATCCAAATGGTGAGCGCCGGCTTGTTCGAGCGCTAGACCCGCTAATGCGGCTGCAGCGACAGTTGCTTCGTTGCGTTGACTCAAATGAGCAGCATGTTGATAGTTGGCCGCGGCTACTGACGCGGCTGCCATTAAAGCAGCAGCTTGTTGTGATTGCTGTTGCTGTGCAGCTGCAGCAGCATTGACCTGCACCTGCTGAGTTTGGGTCATTTGAATCGGAGGACCAGCAGCAGCGGCGAAACCGGCGGTCGTTGGTGTGAACTGAGTGCTCGGATGCGTGTTGCATGCTTGGGCAGCAAAGGGTTGCGTGTAAATGCCGTGCAAGTGGCATGGTGCTAATCTAGCCTGAGGTGGTGGTGCGGGGTAGGTGCAGATTGATGCCCAAATCGGTTCGGCATGACGTAGGGGCAGGCTAACAGGAACTTGATTAATATCCAGCATTAGCGGTGGCGGTGGCGGTGGTGCGCCCACCAGCGAAGTTTGATGATGGTGGCCGGGTGACTGTGGCGGCGGTGGAGTTTGCTGAAATAAAGCATTTACGGCTGCAGACGTCGGATTGCTGCCAGTTAACACTGCGGCAGCGGTCAATGGGTGCTCCCATGGCGAGCGTTGTTGCAATGGTTGTGCTTGTGGCTGTGGGGGTGGTTGCAGGGATTGTGCTTGAAGCTGGTGTTGTTGTTGTTGCTGATGCTGTTGTTGTTGATGATGATGCTGTTGTTGCTGCAGTGATGGCGGCTGACGAAGATAATAAGGTGTGTGCTGCATGGTATGCTGAGGCTGATGATAGTTCTGCAGATTATTGCCATTGGTAGTGTTATTGGTGTTATTGTTGTGATGGCCTTGTATATGCTGCGCCGAGCCGGATTCACGTAAACGTGGACGTCGTATAGGTGGACTTCCCTGCTGTAGCTGTAATAATAGTAAGAATTAGTTTATGCTGGCACAGATTCAAGCTAAATACTGGCATACATGAGTGCGAGGTGAACGGCGTTGCTCCCAAATCGCTGGCGGTGACTGGCTGGTCATGCGCCCCGATATACGTCGCCTCTTACGTGACGGACTATCAGATTTCAAGCCATTAGGACCACTATTCAGCGAAGAAGTCGAACCCAGAATGCCAGAAGAACCAGTGGGAACATCCAAGAGGCTCGAAACACTTCCGCTCGCACCTGCTAAGGCCGCCGCTGAGGTTGACGGTCCATTGTTGTAGTGATGATGGTAATGATAGCTACCCGAGCCACCATTATGCTGACGTCCATGGTTATTGCTATTACGACCGGAGCTGTAGCTATTATTGCTGCCCGACGTACTACTACTATTCAGTTCAGCTACGCTTGCTCTTTCAGACCGATTGTCGTTGTAGAAGTCGTTAACACGGGAATGACCATCAAAATGCTAAACAAATGTAAGTCAACATGAAAATTAAAATGAAAAAACAGTTATGTTAGGTTTAGAAGCGGACATTAAAAAATATGTACAATAGAAGTTGTGGACCCTAACTAGCAGTGGGTTTCGAACGTTTGCTAAACGTTAATCCAGCTTTGTTTGTGGATTACGTCCGTATTTGGCCTCAGAATGCCAAAAGAGCAGTGTTTGCAAATTTTGTGGAATGTTTAACTATGTGCAGTCCAAGAATATCAGACAGACTTCGTAGGCCGATGAAATTGCCTATTGAGACGGTTCGTAAACATAAAACATTTGTCGGACCATAATACAGAAATTGGTCGAAAAAATGGGGCTATTGGGACAAGTTATTGATGTAAAGAATAAAAAAGCTGTAGCCGAAAGTATTTAAGATAACCCAGGTTTGGCCATTCCTCGTCGTTTGGAATTTGGCATACCACAAGCCTCATTACACCGTATTTTGCCGACAGACCTAGATCTTAAGGCTTATAAAGTTTAGTTTACCCCCGAAGTCGAGCCGAACGATCATCAACAACATCCGGTCTTTGCTAATTGGGGTTTTGGAATGCATGAAAATGATCCGGAATTTCATCGATAAAATCATTTTGACTGCTGAGACCCATTTCCAGCTCGATGGCCACGTCAATAAGCAAAACTGTCGCATCTGGGGCTCGGAAAATCCAAGTTTTATTGTTGAATATACTCTCAATCCTCAACGTGTAACTGTTTGGGTCAGCCTCATTTTACTTTTTTGAAAATGAGGCTAGAGTACCGAAAGATGATTCAGGACTTTTTTTTGGTCGGAATTGCATAGTAATGATCTAGACAACTATAGCAGTTTACGGACCGTGTTATCTCTCAAAGAGGTGATTGCAATTGGCCAACGAGTAAACTGAGTAAACCACCTTGTGACTTCTTCCTTTTGACCACGTGAAAGGTAAGGCTTACGCCAACAGGCCAACGTCAATTCAAGCCCTCAAAACTGTTCGTGAAGCTATTGAAGGCATACATCAGCCACTTTGCGATTTGGAGATGGAAATTTTCATGAGAAAGATAAGATCCTGAAAACGTATGCTTGGCGGTCTTTCGGCTGACATTGTTTTCCATTAATTAATTGTTTATCTTCATTTCTTTTTCCTTTGAATATCAAAATAACACCTCTTATTGGATGTTAGTAGGACCTAGACTCGAACCTTGGCCTTCCCAGTGAGAGAACCCAGTGCCAACCACTCGGCTTTTGCGGTATTGATCTTTTCGTTGCAGGTTTTGATGGGCCTATTTACTCTCTCTCTCTGCTACTTACAGACCTTGGACCAAAGTTAATGTACAATTTTATGTTCAGGAAAGGTATAATAAATACGAAAAACAAAATTTGAGCCATGAAAACGGAAAGCTCCGTTATTAAGGATAGTATGTATTTTTTCTGGTCGCTTAAACCGACAATGGTTAATCCATCCATTAACTGTGACTTGAGATACTCACCACATTATTGTTGCCATTGCTGCTGCTGCTGCTGCTTCCATTTCCGTTGCCAATCCCATTGACGTTGTTGCTATTATTATTATTCCTATCAAATAAACCTGAGCTAGATGCGTGACTGCCATTGTTATTGCTATTGCTATTGTTGTTGTTGTTGTTGTTGGTGTTGTGTCGCCGGCTATGTTCACCATATTGATGATGTTGATAATTATAATGATTGTTACCGTAATATTCACCATTATGACGGTGTGTCAGCGATGAAATGCCACTGTTAGTATTTTGATTGCCACTGCCGCCGCCACGTCGGTAAGTGTTGTTGTTGTTGTTACTATATTCACTGTGATTGCCGCTATTATCCATACCTCGGCCATTACTGCTGAAGCGCAAATGCCGTGAGTGTTGTTGTTGTTGACCAAAACTCATCGAATTGCTATTGAATTGTTGGTGATAGGTGTTGTTGTTGTTGTTGCTGCTGTTGCTGTTGGTATAATTATTTGTTATCGCATTATTAATATTATCACAAATGAAATTGTTATCAGTCGAAGCGGAGTAATTCAAACACATTTTATTATTATTATTATTATTGTAGTTGTTGTTATTGTTGTTATCATACGATTTTGTTATATTTTCAGTGGCGGATACATTTTCGACATTTTTTCGAACACCCGTTGTTGCATTAGCGAGCATCGTAGAAGGCGACGATGCACGAAAAGCAGCCCGAATAGAAGACCGAGAGGAGGAAGAAGTGGAAATTGAAGTGGAGGGATTATAAATAGAAGACGGTGAAGTGAAACCGTTGGTGGGAGCATTCGAGTTTCGTGGAATTTCAATTGTTGGCGTTTGCGTGCCGGAAGGGACGCACGTGTGCGGTATGGTTGCAGATGACGTTGTCGATGTTGGAGAGTTCAATAGTGTTGATGTGATTGGTGTGTTGGTTGTTGTTGTTGTTGTTGTTGTTGTCATCAATGTGGCAGGTACATGCGTTGGTAATGTTGGCGTTGTTATTGTATTTTTTTGATTATTACAATATTTATTATTATTGTTTGTTACATTAAATAACAATTGTTTGGACGTTGCAGTTGTAGTTGTTGTTGTTGTTGTCGATATACAACGGGAAGACATTAAAGATGTACTCACAGTACATTGTTGTTGCGTTTGTGATTGTTGTTGTTTGCATGATGAGGCAGATGATGTTGTTATTGTTGGCGTTGACGTCGGCGTTGTTGTTGTTGTTGTTGTTAATAGCATATGTTGTTCAGGTTTTTGTTGTTGCCGTCGATGCCGGTGTTTCACATTGTTGTTGTTCAAGAGTTGTGGCATCATTTGGTGTGTTTGTTGTTGTTGTTGTTGTTGTCGTCGTCGTCGTCGTGAAGATAATATTGGAGATGTTGATAATTCACGTTGGGAAATTATGTCAGTACAAGAAGTTACATTCACATCATCAGTACAGTTACTATTTTCGGTTATTGTTGTTGTTGTTGTGTTTGTGGAATTGGACTCATATGTTAAAGGGATGTGGGATTGGTGATTAGTTGGTTTATTTTGGTTATGATTATGGCTATGGTTATGGCTATGGCTATGGCTATGGTTATGGCTATGTTTGTGGTGTTTTGGATTTTTGTTCAAATTCGAATGATTATGATGATTTCGATTTTGATTATTTTGATGACTATCATGATAACTGGTAGTGTTATTGTTGTTGTTGTTGTTGTTGTTGTCATAATTACTATTAAAATTACTATTTTTCTTGCGTACATGCTGTTGACTGAAATGATTCTGACTTTGATCGAGATGCTGATTGCGGTGCAAACCGCGATTGTGTGGGTAATGCATATTTTGATTAGTCTGGTTTTGACTTTGACTACAACTAAGATATGAACTAGGATTTGGGTTAGGGCTGTGGTTTAGGTTTTGATTCTGACTCGGATTTGGGTTCGAAATATGATTGATTTTTGGACTAGCAGATAGCAATTGTTGGCAATTTGTCGGAGCATGGGTTTGAGCATACAAATTGTTGGAAATAGCTGAAGCGGCGGCACTTGTTGGAAGGGATATCCGGAGGGGTGATAACAAGGCGGGTATTTTAACTTCTGTTAATTTTGTACAATCGTTTTCATTTTTCCTATTGGCCGGATCAAAATGTTTCGAATTGGGTGGCGGCGGGTTGGGACTATGGTTGGGGAAGTGTAAAATATTGCTGGTGGGCGCTATGCTTACGGGCGCAACTAGTGCTGGTGGCATATTGGCAGTGTTGGCATCAGCATTCAAGGCAGCTTGTGGAGAGCGATTGAACGCAAGGTGGTTAAGGAGAGTAGCGTTTGAAGAGTTAGAGATATGTGCCGATGTTGATGATACAGAACTTAAGGAAATTTCTTTTGCTGCTTTATAATGTTGATATATTTGTTGTTGCAACTGTTGTTGTTTTTGTTGTTGCTGACAATGATTGTGACTACTACTATGAGACAATTGCGTATGATGAATTTGATTTGGAATACAATGACTATAGTGCTGAGCGCTATTATTACAATCGTAACTATTGGTGTGATTACTTTGGCTGTGATTATGATTTTGGTGAGAGCTATGATCGTTGTCTTTGCTATGTATGTAAAAATTGTGACTGTATTGGTGGTGGTGGTGGTGGTGGTGGTGGTTTTGGCGGATGTTTTGTTGGTGGTGATGTTGATATTGATTTTCTTTGCTTTTATTCGGACAACTTCCACACTTATTATTACTTGTTTGTATATCGCTGCATTATATTACATATTTATTGATTTTTTTTTTTTAGGTTATTTGGATGGTGGAAGTGTTAATTAATTTATAGATTGTTTGTATGATTTGTTTGTTTGCGTTAGGTCAACATATATATATATATATATATGTCATTTTGTATTTAGTTGGATTTCGATTTTCAAAAGTGTGTGTTTTTTTTCAAATATGCAGTAGTAGTAAAAGAAGCGGTACATATTAGTAGTAGTAATTTTTGAGTAGTAGTAGTAATTGAGCAGTAGTAGGAGTAGTAGTAGTAGTAGTAGTAGTAGTAGTAGTGGTAGTAGTAGTAGTAGTAGTAGTAGTAGTAGTAATGGTAGTAGTAGTGGTAATAGTGATGGTAGTGGTGGTAATTAAAAACACAACCCATAATAGTTATTTAATGCATTTACATGTACAATTACAGGTATATATATATATGTAGCAGCCACATATATAAATATGTATTCAATTTGTTTTTTTTTTTTGTTTTTTTTAATTTTATGAAGAAGAAAGAAAAACGAAAAAAGAAAAATAATATTTTAAATGGCAAAATGCAATATTTATATATATATATATAGAAAATTTTTAATTTGTATTAATATTTACACACAAAGAAACAATTACATAATTTTTAATATATAATAAAAGTAGGCAAATTTGTTACACACATTTATTTGGATTTAATGCACACTACGGTTAAAGCTAATTTTTTTACCGGTTTCGTAACTAAATTCGTGTCGCTTAACTAGGCTAATAATAAATTTAAAAAAAAAAATGTCTTTATTCCATTTAAAATGAGTTTCATAAGCATTCAATTCATTGCTAAAAAGAAAATTAATAATAAAAATATTTCGTAGGGTAGATGCAACGCTTTAGCATTTGGTTTCAATTTTAAGGGCTTGAGAAGAATAAAGGGACTTTCGATTTTCAAAGAAACACTTTTCATTCGGTATAAGCGAAATTTCAAATTAATATTTTTGTGCCTATGATGAAAAAGGTTTGAAAGTGCTAATAAGGGAGCCGATTTTTTTAAATGTTTACTTAAAAGTCTTGATTATGTAATTCAATATTGCATACTAGAAAATCTTACATCAGCAAAAATATACAGAAAAACTTTTTTTCATTAATTATATTCTTTTTATGAAAATTATTTTAAGTTCCAAATTTTGGTTTCAAACTTTTGATGAAAAAAAACTATGAATCCACAGTGGTCACGTTTAATTATTTAGAAAGACGTTATAAATGTATTACTTTTTGTTGCAATAACTAACTACAAATTTTCATATATCCATTCGAGCTATTATAAATACCAGAACGGAATTCTTTATGACAAATAAAAAATTTTCCTTAAAAAAAAATTCAATTAAATTTGGTTTGTTACTAACATTTCTTTCAGAAGGGTTCTCTGTCATCATTGTAATATATGTATAACAGCTCATTTGTTGGAGTATGTTTAGAAATTCGTCTACTTCTGGGACTATGAGTCCAGCGTTATTAAATATTATACATACATATAAATGATATGTGATAAGCAGCTTCTCTGCGCTGAAAACCATAAAAGCAGTTAACTAAATAATATATTTGCTGACTACTTATTATTTAACTACCAAAGAATATAATTTTTATTTTTTCCAAATTGTTAGTTCATTACATGCCAACAATAATTATATATAATAGTAATAATATTTACGCATATTACTGCTTGGGTTTGTATTATACATAGTAGTCGGTATCCACATAAATCAGTTCCTTCTAGAATAGCTGTTAATTATTATCAATTCTCTTATTTAAAATGTATGTACATAAGAAATTTTTCTAGTACTAAATAACGATAAGTACAAAGATGTGTTGCAAATATTAACGGTGAATGAGGCATTGCAAAGAATTAAAACATTTGGTTAAGACAAAAAATCCAATTTTTTTTTAATTTTGATTAATTAATTTTTCTGACAATATTTATATTATTTTTTATATATATTTTAAATTATTATTATTTTTTATTTACTTTTACTTATTTTAATTTCAATTTATGTATTTTTTTTATTTCAAATCATTTGATCTAAATTTTTTAGTCAATTTTATTTTATTTAAATTAATCTAATTTCATTTAATTAAGTATAATTTTTTTAAATTAATTTATTGCATAGTATTTTATTTATTGGTTTATTTATTTATTTTTTCTTGAATTCAGTTTTATTTATTCAAATTTAATTTCTTATTTTATTGTATTTGATTTTACTTTATTTCATTTTACTCTAATTACTTTAATTACTTTTTATTTATTTTAATTTAAATTCAAGAATTTAAAAAAATATGTATTTCATTTGGTTAAAATTAATTTAATTTTACTAGAAATAATTTATTATACTTTATTCTGCTTTATTTCGTTTTATATATGCTACTGTATTTGATTTTACTTACTTATTTTATTATATTATATTTTATTTTTTATTACATTGCCTTTTATTTATTTAAATTTAGTTTTGCGTTATTTAACTTTTTTTCAGTCCGGTTTTTTCATTTAATTCTTTTTTGTTGAATTAATTTAATTTAATGATTTCAGTATAATTTCATTTTGTTTTATTATACTACATATATAATTTTCCGTTTTATTGTATATTTTATTTTTATGTTATATTTCATCTTGCTCTTCTACTTTAATTACTTAAGTTTTTTAATTTAAATTATTTATTATCTTTTTATTTCATTTTATGTTGTTTTGTTTATTTTATTTTGTTTAATTTTATTTTTTTACTATTGAATTGTATTTATTTTTTTTATTTATTTTATTTGATTATTTGATTTTATTCTTTTTAATTATTAACTTCTTTAAAATAATTTATTGTAATTTATTTTATTTAATTCTATTTTATTATGAATTACTTTATTTTATTATAATTTATTTTATTTTTTAATTTTAATTTTTTTTCTTTATTTTATTTTGTATTGTTTCGTTTCATTAGTTTAGTTATTTAATTTTTTTAATTTAATATTATTTTATTTTGTTTAAATATTATTTACTTTATTTTATTTCATTTGATTTTATTTTTATTATATGTTATATGTGTATTGTTTTATTTTAATTAATTTAATTTTTTAATTTTTTTTTAAATTTTATTTTATTTTTATTATATGTTATATGTGTATTGTTTTATTTTAATTAATTTAATTTTTTAATTTTTTTTTAAATTTTATTTTATTTTATATTGTTTTGGTTTATTTGTTTAGTTTAGTTTATTTTATTTTAATTTATTTTATTTTTTAATTTAATTTAATTTCATATTATTTTTAATTATGTTATTTTGTTTAAATTAAATTTTTTTTTGTTATTTCACTTAATTTTTTGTATTTTAATTTGTTTTGTTTATCTTTTCGTCTTATTTTATTTTGTTTCGTATTATCTTATTATTTTGTTTAGTTTTATTTTAATTAATTTTTTTTTTATTTTATATTGTTTTGGTTTATCAGTTTAGTTTATTTTATTTTAATTCACTTAATTTTTTTAAATCAATTTAATTTTATTTTGTTTAAATTAATTTTATTTTAATTTATTTAATTTAATTTTTATTTTATTTTATTTTGTTTTGTTATATTTTAATTAATTTAATTTTTTAATTTTTTTTAAACTGTATTTTATTTTATATTATTTTGGTTTATTAGTTTAGTTAAGTTTACTTTATTTTTATTTATTTTATTTTTTAATTTAATTTTTATTGTATTTTTTTTATCTTGTTTCGTTTTATTAGTACTAAACTAAGTTAGTTTATTTTACTTTAATTTATTTTATTTGATTTAATTTTTTTAATTTAATTTATTTTTATTTTATTTTGCTTAAATTAATTTTATTTTATTTCATTTGATTTTATCGTATTTTATTTTTATTTTATTTTAATTTGTTTTACTTTAGTTTTTTTTTCATTTTATTTTATTTCTTTTCATTTCATTATATTCTTTTTCTCTGCTTATCTTATATGGCTTAAATCAAAACAGAAATAAAGCTTGCACTAAAACATAAAAGTAAGGATATTATTATTGTATTTGACGTGAGGTGAATTTTCCTTTATTACCAGAAAGGTTCCGCTTTTGTTTACATTTCTTTTAAATAAATTCTTAAATTTATATAAATATGTACGAGTAAGTGCCTTAATAGCCATGCCATTTGGATTTATTCAAATTGTGCCTGTCAATACTCGCACAACATCAAAAGCATTTCAAATGTAAATATCACGTGTTTAGGTATGCAACAAATAAATTGAATGGAATTGCTTGGATTAAAACAAAATTTTACTAAAAACAAATTGTAATCACAAATGAAAATCACAATATATTAGCCGTATTTTTTTGACCATTCTCAAAGTAGACAAAACCATAATAACTTGCCGCTCAGCCGTTTGCTCACAGAATAAATGATCCAATCATCGTAGAAATTCTTTCATAAATAAAGAAATTAATTTTGGAAATAAAAGTAATTAGAAATGGTTTTGTCACTTTTTTTCTAATTCTGCAAAGCTTTTCTGTAACAAAAGTCATTGATTCGTTATTCTCCAATCATTCTGCCTGCACTTTACTCACGTCGCGTATTTTTTAAGCCACCTTTATAGTGGTTGCAAAAAAACACAGCTAATATTACAGCTTTTCTATGTAGTTGATTATTTTTATGATCAATAAATATATTTTTTTGTATTTACTATATTACAGGTTTAACAACACAGTTGAATTGGAAGCAAGGAAAAATATATAAATCGTTTCAAAAGTTCGATTTTGACAAGTTTTTAACACTTTTTACTATTGTTTTTGTTGTCGTTTATAGTTTTGTTTGACTAATTCGTGCTTTTTACGGAAGAAGGAACAAGTAAACATAAATATACGAATACGTATGTATATACACTTAAAGAACTATTTGAATATAAAAGTTTATTAAATATGGTTATGTGTAGATATATTTTAATTTTTATATATTTTTTTTTTTGTTTAAATAATTCTTTTTTGTGGTTTTCT